CACACAGTTGGAAAGTGAAAATCAGAAGCTTCAGCAGCAACTTAAAGTAATGACTGAACTGGATCAAGAAAATGGAGTGAAACTCTTTAGGAAATTAATAGTAGAGGAAAAAGACCAGTTAGAGAAGGAGGAGAAATTTTCCAAAGTGGAAGAAAAGATCAGCCATGCAGCTGAAGAACTGGAGACCTGTAGAGGGCAAGCCAAAGTTGTGGAAGAAGAATTGGAGAGGAGCATTCGTTTTTATCAAGGGCAGATGACTTCCCATGAGAAAAAACAACATGATAATTGGTTGGCAGCTGAGACTGCTGAAAGACAACTCAGGTATTTAAGGAAAGTAAACGTTTCTAAGAGGCAAAAATTAGCTGAAAAAGAGTTTACGTTTGAACTTTTCAAAAAAGATCCTTATGCACTTGATGTTCCAAATACAGCATTTGGTGGAGAGCATTCCCCATATGGTCCCTCACCACTGGGTTGACCTTCATCCGAAATGAGAGCTTTTCTCTCTCCACTCAGACTCTCAACTTTGACTCCAGGGTGAGGAGGAGGAAGAGGCTCAAGAGGCCCAGAGAATACTCTGGACCATCAGATGACCAAAGAAAGAGGAGAAACTGGCTGTGATAGGTTAACTGATTCTCATGGAGCACCTTCTGGATTCCTGTCACTTCCATGGGAACAGCGCTTGAGGATGATGATCCCTCCACCAGGCCAATCATGTTCTGATCCAGCTCTTCTTCCCCCAAGGCAAGACAGATTTTATTCTACTCCCAGTAGACCATCTGGACCAGCAGAACTTAGAAGTTTTAATATGCCTTCTTTGGATAAAGTGCATGGGCCGAAGTCTTCACAAATGGAATTCAGTAGAAATGATACCAAAGACGACCTTTGTCATGTAAATGTGCCTAATTCATCTGGACCTTCTGAAACTGAAGCACCTGGCCCTGGCTTTGTTCCTCCACCTTTTCCTGCAATCAGAGGTCCAGTGTTTCCAGGGGATATGAGGGGTCCGTTCATGAGAAGAGATCCTCCTTTTCCTCCACCTCCTAGAGGAAGCATGTATGGAGCTCCTCGCAATTATTTTCTACCAAAGGTTTTCCCTGTTCAGCCACCACCTCCATTTGCAATGAGAAGTGTCTATTCACTGAGGGATTTTCCACCTTGTGTTCCTCTAAGAGCTGGATTTGAACGTCCACCCCCACATTCTGAAAGTAGGGGTGAGTTC